AAGGTCTAGATTTTACTACGCTAAAAAATAATCTAAACAAAACATAAACAACAAATAAATTTAATTACAAATAAAACACAAAACGATATGAAAACACATATATATAAATCGAGATATTAACAAACAAATTTATTTGACAAATTTACATTTTTTTATAAAATACTAATATTAAATCCGGATAAATTTAACATACTAGTTTCGAAAAAAAAACACAAACCGAAATAGAACACATACAAATCAAATAATATGCATTATTATAAAAGTTTCAACTTAAAATAAATCGAAATACCTCGATTTAGAATTTTCGGAAAGCAAATAGATTGAAATTTTGACTCCAGAAGTGTGAATCAACAATAATACGAAGCTCTACTCGAATGTGGGACATATGTTCTTCACCTTTTATGTGACGGGGGACCCAATTTTATTTTTTTTTTAAAATGGTGGGGCAGTGGGTATGGGAGTGGGGGACCAAGAAGATGAATATGTAAAATATTGAGGAAGAAGAAGCAGAATCGTCATCTTGAGGAAGACAGATTTTAAAAAAATATGTATAGCACCGGATTTTTGGGCGCTATACTTGTTAGTGTCAGCTTTTTATATATAGCGCCCAAATACTGGGCACTATACATTAACGGCACAGTTAACGTTAATGTATAGCGCCTAGTATTTGGGCGCTATATATAAAAATATCATCTTTTTTTTTACACCTATTAAGGTGCTACTTGTCCAAAAAAAAAACCACATTTTGGTTCCGGACTCTTCGTTCATTGCTCCCCTACCCTTCCCCCCTCCCCCCTTCTTGTTTTGTTGTGCTGTATGGGATTGGATTCCAAATGAGATTAAAATGGTGGATTGGCTCTACGATTGGTTTTTATTACCCATCAACTACAGAGGAGTAAAACCCTAATATAGAGCGACAAATTAATATGTGCATATAATTCCTCGAGGTCCTAACATACACACACACACACACACACACATATATATATATATATATATATATATATATATATATATATATATATATGTGTGTGTGTGTGTGTGTGTGTATTCATAAGAGATTATATATTATACATTGTTATATACAGGAAGGAAAGCAAATTTTTGATATACATTTTACAAAGAAGGATAATAAATTTGTGATATACATTTTGCTATACACATTATATTATATATTATACATTATGATATACCAATAATATAATTAGTTTTGTGTTATACACTTGGATATAAAGATAATAATAAATTATATACAACTACCGAAGGAAAAAAAATTGATATACACAAAGAAGAAAAAACTAAAGTTGCGATGGATATGTTGCTATACACGTTATTTAGCATGTTATAAAGTATGATATACAAAAATTATAATTATTTTTGTGCTATACACTTGGGTATACACTATGATATACAAACTATTATTTATAATTTTTAATATTTTTAATGCTTGTGAGAAATAATTTAAAAACCTAGAAAAAAGATTGTAGAGATTTGGGTGAAAATCTTGAAAGATTTTCGAATTCTAACAAAACGGAAATGAAAGCCTAGGGTGATGATTGGACCATTAGAAGAGAGAGAAGATAATGTTAAATTTTGGCTACATGTGCCAAATGCTAAAAGATAGGCCATTTTCTGCCAATTATTGAACTAAGTTGTTATGCAATGTCAAAACCCCTTATCAATATTCTTGCAAAAAATGATCTAAAAGTGTTCTTCAACTTTTTGTAAAACTGAAAATTTACCCGGAGTTTTTCCTGAAAAAATGATATTGTAAAACCGCTCTTAACTTTACTAGTTTCTATGAACGTGCGTTGCACGTTAAATATCATATCAATTGAAAATATACCGAAGAAGAAAGAATTATATAAAAACACAGTTGATGTTATTCCATTAATGATCAACAAATGTGTTGAATCAAAAGATGTCGTATAAAGCATTAGAAATTTAGAAAGAATAATTAGGTTGTAAGCTAAATTTGAATGAATGCAAATTAATCAACAACTCAATCATAAAAAGTTTTGTTCCTCAAATCATTGCAAACTCAGGTTTTAGGCACTTCTCCAAAAGTTTCATAAAAATGTTGCTAGATGAGTTACCATGTAAAAATTTAAGAACATATTTCGAGCATCATGAGTTTATTGGTGGGTAATTCTTTATTAGACGCGTTTCAGTAGATCATAAATTTTCTTGTCATGTCCTACCAATCAAAAANGTTTAGTTGGATTATTAATTCAAGTGACTAAAATCGATAAATTAGCAAGAACTTTAATATATTTACGTAAGTAATGAAGAATGAAAAATAATTACTATGAGTTAAGTTATATATTTTAACAGTGTAAAAGAATTTTACAATCTTACAATCTAACTTATTATAATATGTTACTTACTCTATTAAGGTTTCAAAATCATACTGCTATAAATAGTTAATTATTATTGCAAGTAACTCTACACGTCTAGAGTGATCGACAAAGGAATTTTCTATTTTTATCTAATCTTTAGTTTCATGAAAAATACATAAGAATATTTATGATATATATCTGATTCGGTAAGAGGCTTTTATTCCAGATAAAAAGTCCTGTATGAGTAAACTTAAGTGTCTAACTTGATTTTGAAGACCTAATCCTGAGTATTGTAGTCCTAACTATTTGTATTTGATATAGTAATTTTTGTAAAACTCAAGTTTAAGTAATATTAAAGTTTCAGTTGATTAAATTGTAATAATCACTAAATTGGGCTTAATATTAATGTCAAGTTAAAATAACCATGAGCTTAAAAAGGTGCATAAAGTTAGTCAACACTATAAGGTTATAGATAACATAAATAAAAAAATTATTGTAAATGAACTTCAAAATTCTGAGCATCAAGTGAAATTCTAAACGTATAATTTTATCCAATAAAGATTATCTCATTGAAGTAATACTTTAGCTTTCAAAAATTTAGTAGAGAATCAAATTATTAAAAACTGAGAAGAAACAAAAGTTGTACGATTAATATGAATAGGAATGTTTCTCCTAAAAATTCGGAAGATTTGGCACAAGAGTTTTTTTTATTTTTATTCTTAAAAAAAAAAACTTTTTATGGATGTACCTTTCTAATCAAAGTTGGATTCGATTTGCTTCATGATTAGGGTGTGGTGGCATATCCATATTCGGTTTCATCATATATCCTACGTATTAGCTCATCCAAAATTTAATACCATATTGGAGGTGATTACAATTTTGTCCTTAACTTAAATTTTTAAGGCTATTTTTGTCTTCCAATATTGTATTCGTGCTTTTATAATAATATAGATAGATATAGATATAGATAGTCAAAAAATATATATATTTTATCTATATACATTTATGTATGGTTCATAAAAAATATACAAATTTTATATATTTTTACGATTCAGAATATTAATAATTTGGACCGCAAGCTAAAATTGAGTTTTGCCTCTCTTTTTCCTCTGAAACAAATGCCACTTAGTAGGACTAGAGACGGTCCATATACTTAAAGCATAATACTTTGTGTGTCAAATTTGATCTTTAAATGTGCAACTCGTTCAATTCATCCAAATTTGAAGAGGCTGAGAAAGTGATTCATTCAAGGACTAAAATAACAGCCTGTTTGGAAAGTCATCTTGGAAATGAATTTGGGTATAATTATACAGTTTGACATGTTTGTTTGGCCAAGTAATTACTTGATCAGAATGAAATTAGCTGTAATTGGATGAGTGTAATTACACTTTCAATTCTCAAGGGGGGGGGGGTGAGAATTGGTGGCAATTACACTGTGTAGTTAAAAGGTTGTTTTGATAATTACTTAATTTAAAATTTAATATAATTGTATAATTACACTTGTGCAACCAAACAGTAAACTTTTAATTACACTGTAATTACATTATGACAAACAAACAAGTCGTCGTAATTACACAACTATGTGTTTACTATCATAGTAATTATACTAATTTCAATTTCCCCGCGGCTTTTCAAACATATTCTAAATGTAAACCAAATGAACCAATTAAAAGCATGGGTAAATTTAAGTTACATTATTGGTCCAAATCATTTAGTCAAAAAGTAGAGTACAAAAAAGTACTAATTGGTTTCAAAAAAGGATATAATTCTTTCTGTTTTATTTTTTTCAAATGGTTTATAGGAAGTAAGGAATGTCTAACTAGAAAATACTAACTGTTGAACGTACTATTGAAATTCGATCGAACTCGTGTATTAATTGTGGCTTCTTAGCTAATGATTTGTTCCTTAAATATGGGTTATCCTTTAAGCAACTCAATTCTATAGCTAATAAACTTTAGATGAACTAAATGATGACATAGTTCTTCTACACTTACCAGGAGCTTCCCAAAATTAAGTGCCAAAGGTCCTCTCTTTATGGATAAGTGTCAACTTCCTAGTATTAGAACTAGGTATGATAAGGCCAACTTCTTTAATTGTTAGTTAAAATTAGAATATCTGTAGGAGCAGGTTGTAAATATAATCTCTTGTATTTTGTCTATACTTTGTCCTGCTCCTATGACCTTTTTTGAATGGATGGATTCCCACCATTCTTTTGCTCTTGAGGTAAGGTTTATGTCCTCCTCTTTGTACTAGTTTTCTATGATATATATACAAGGTAGGGGTTAATGCCAAACCCCCCAACACCACAGGAGGTGAAAGCCTGGGTGGTTGGATTATTCAAAAAAAAATAAAAAATGACATAGTTTATCAACTCGACATATTGTAATTTGGTCAACTCACCCATATGACCCCAAATTAAAATACAACCACTCTGGAGGAAAAAAAAACTAAAAGAAGAAAGTCTACAATAATATTGCATGGCAATGGAAAAGAAAAAGTAGAATATTAACACGTATATCTGTTGACTAAATATTACTCCATCAATTATGTGTCCAAGTATTTGAAAGTGTATTTTTTTTCCTGATCATAGACTCATAGCTAATTAAACTACAGAATACAGGTAATACAAAATCAAAATATATACTAATTGCTCTATAAATATAAATCTATTATTGTTTATTTGTTTAATTAATTTCTAAATAGTGGGACCAAAATCAAATCAGGATCTTATCCCTTCATACGCTCCACCTTCTTTTTAATTCCATTGCATGGTCCGCAGCTTTAATTTGCCTTTTGAATCAACTCAGATAAACCCTTATTTAAAAGCTCTAAAAAGTAGTAGTAGTAGTAAATTAAAGCTACGTACCCTTGTCTTTATCTTCATCCACTTTCCTTTTTGCCCTTTGTTTTTCTCTCTTTTTCCTTATTCAGTACAGTCAATATATTTCTCCAAAACAATCAGTCATCTATCCCTTTAACTCCCTCTTTCATACTTTTCCAAAAGCTCCCATATTCAAAGTAGCTCGGTGCTAAGTTTCCGCCACTCACAAAATTCGTACACAACCTTACTTTACATTTTTACAACCCATATTGCTTTTATTTCTCGGCCACCCCTTCTTTTTTTGGGTCCTTTTGTGGTACTAATTAAAGAAAGCTATGTCTAGGCGAAGGATATCCGAGGAAGAGCCAGATCACAAGAGCTGTTGTATGCTGCCTTACTCAACATCTCTGCAAGAGGTTATCTCCACCGCTCGAAGATTGCTTTTATTTCTGGGACACCCTTTCTTTCTTTTTTTGTCCTTTTGTGGTAGTATTTACATAAAGCTATGCTAGGGAAAGGAATATTGAGGATATTCATATTCATGCATTTCACATTCATGATCTAGTCATTAAAGTAAAATGAACTAGTGGCTGGTGGGGTACTTATCAGTGTGCTGGAAAGAAAAGTGGTGAAGAATCTCTTTGTAATTTCCTATCAGAAAGTCTCACTTTGTTCATCTTTTCTTCACACCAATGCAACTGTTCCTCATTCACTTCACTCATTCTCAATACCCTTGACACTAATTTTAGGTCTATTAAAGACATCAATATCTCCATTTCTTCCTCTTCTCTTAGCCTTCTTTTATTCCTCATGCACTTCCCTGATCGTCGTAGATCTTTCACCTTTGATTTTTTCTGCAAGTCATATTTTTCAACAATTAATGTTATGTATACAGGATTTAGCTTTATTGATAGTGTAAAAGAATTTTACATTATAAAATCTTAAAAGTCAACTTTTTGTAACATGATAACAAGTATGCATTTTTGTAACTTGCAAAACATGGTGAGTGACTGTTGCGACCGATAAAATTAAACTAGCAATGTAAAAATCTTTTACACTATCAGATAATGACAGTATTTATAATATATAAATAAATCTCAATATTGTAAAAAGTTTAACTTATATACACCGTCAGCTTAAGAAGTTTTTACACCAGGTCACTTTTGCATGTTATAGAAAGTAACATGTCTTATTTTCAGAATTACAAATCTCACATCTTAAGGAAGTTTATTTTGATATCTTTTGACTAACCTCGTAGTGTAAAAAGAAAAAAAGTTCATTATATTGCATGAATTCCTTAACTTAAACTCTAATATAAATAGTTAAGAATTTCAATGATAGCAATGTGAACAAAGAAAAATTAATTACAAAAATAGTGTTTAGATACTTGCCTTTTTGTTGACTTTCTTTAATAAGAGGAGGAGAGTTGCATCAGCTGAACCTCTTCTGTTTCTTTTAAAGAAAGCTGCCATTAATATTTGGCAACGATTCTCCTTGTCTGCCTTGAGAAAATTCATAAATGTTCTGATTGCCTCTTTCATTATCTGGAGAAATGAATCTGAAGATATTCTTGAACAATAATCTTCTTGACCCTTATCCTCCTCCGAATCTAATCAAAATTAAATAAAGTAAGGAATATGATTATTATATCTCGAGATTGTTTACAGGATCTATTAAGAAATAGTATCTAATTAAGGATTCACAGTGTATATTCCATCTCATATATAGGAATAACCAATAGATTATTTCTCTAATTCAACTTTAGAGACCAAATAATTATAGCCTAAACTTATATTCTCAATGCTGATTTTAATAAAGCACCAGGTCATGAATCTTTAACAAAAGGTGAATTTGGTCAAAATACCATGGTACTTCCTTGTGTGGGGACTTTCCTAGCCATCAAAATATCCAGAGGTCACACGTCCTTTTCAAAATTCCTACACTACACAATGTAAAATTCTTTTACAGTAAAAGTGAAAAGTGAATATGTGGTTCCATTTCATTCTATAATTATAAACGAGTTTAATTTCTAGGTACCGATCACAAATGTATAATTATTTTACAGTATCAGATTAGTAACAATAGGTAACTACTCATGAAAATGGGACTATTAACCTGAAAAAAGAGCAGGTAGCCTTGTATAACATATTAAATTGCATCAACAAGATAAAGAACACTCCGACTCTATCTATCTCTCTCTATATATATACCGAGCTCTTCACATTAATTACTTCCTTGGTGACTCAAACTCGCAGTCCGGTTGACCATCATATTCGAGATGGAATTTCGTATACTCCCTCCATCCCATATTATCTGTCATGATTTTCTTATACATGTCTCTTAAGAAAAAATAATTAGAATAGGATTTTGACTAGTTTACCCTTATTTATGTCTTAATATTTAATCTTTCTTCATTGGTATTTGAACAAAGTTATCCAAAATTGAGGTGTTTGTAGTCTTCAAGGATAATTATTACTAAGAGTAAAGAATTTCTAAAGTGACAAATAATTTGAGGCCATTATTTTTAGTAATCACGACTGATATAATATGTGACGGAGGGAGTAATTAATTAAAAGCAACAAGAACATATAAAACATAGTATTTATTAATTACCTCGATATTCTGGGACTTGAAGCAACTTAGGAGCAAAGCCTCTCATCTTAGCATAAATCTCTGGTCTCCTCCCATGTTCATAGGGTTCATTCTCAACATATCTTTGTAAAAGAACTTGAAATTGTTGAAACTGCTGAGCAACATAAGCAGGACAACCTGGTTCTGATGATTCCTTATTACGTGAAGCTCTAATACGTTGGAAATATTTGTAGTTCCAACTCAGAGCTTCCCATGCTAAACATACCTGAGCTACATAAGCTGCCTCTAGTTCTTGAAATGGATTATTATGGTGTCGATAATCTGAGGATTTCTTGTTCCTTGTTGACAACTTGTGAACAATCCTATCTGATATTGATCTTGGACATGCTTGAATTGATCTTAATGATTCTGAAAATGAGTTGGTTACTTTAATATTAGTCAAAAAAAGAAAAAACAAACTGTGGTAAATAAAGAAAATGAGGGTTCATTATTTCATATATAATTGCTGAACATTATCCACCATAACGATAAACTCACAAAATTATTATTTTTTATTAAAGTAATTAAAGTGTGTGTAAATTGTTCAAAATTAAATAACTAGAAGGTTAATTGTTTAGTGCCGGATTATGACGTGTCATGTGACACATCAGCACTTTGTCATTTTTTAAATTCCACATTAATTAAGAGATGGAAAAAATTTCACAGTGTACAAATTTTGCCTACATATTTTAAACGTAACGCAATTGAAAAAGATCATTTAAATGATACCAAAAAGAAGAACGATTGCTGTATAGAAGCAGTTCACATCTATAAAAATATCAAATCCAACCCTTTAATTTGCATTTCAATGGTGAGTGTCGTGTCATAGTTGGGCCAATTTTTTTGTGATATTTTCCCGTCATTTGTATTTTTAACGAATTTACCCTAGATTTTAATTGAAGGGGAGCTTTGGTAAAGTCGCTGCCATGTAATCAGGAAGTCATCGGTTCAAGTCATGGAAACAATCTCTTGCAGAAATGCAAGGTAAGACTACGTACAATAAATCCTTGCATGTGGTCCGACCCTTGCATAGCGGGAGCTTAGTGCACCGGGCTGCCCTTTCTTTTACACTATATTTTAATTATTTTCACGCGACAAAAAATAGTTTTATAATTAGGTAATGTTTAGTAACCATAAATGAAATTAACCCAGAAAGTGATGAAAGTCAGAAAATTACCTGTTTCATGTAGCTTTTGGGCACTGATTCTATCAAAAAACAGCATTTCTTCATCATATTTTTGGAAGATTGTATAAGACTCCCATTTAGGGCAACTTCTCCTTGAAGAAGAAGAGAATGGATCTTCAGTTGTTGAGTCTTTAATGGAGCTTCTCCATTCAGTGGAGCTCTTTGAAGTTGAACCAACAGTACAAGAATCTCCAAATATTTCATGCTCTTCTTCCTTTTCTTGTAATTGAAATAGTTTCTTGCTCTCTAACTTTGATGATGATGCATTAACAAATATATTTTCCTCTCGACATAAATTAATCTCCATCACTTTCTTGTCTTTATTGATTTCCCTGTAACAGTTTCCTGTAACATCAACATAATCAAGAAATTAATATATATGCCTTAATTAGCCAAGAAACTTGAAATATTCTGGAGTCGAGGGTCTTTCGGAAACAACCTCTTTACTCCTTTGAGGTATGGGTAAGGTCTGTGTACACAATATCCTCCCCATACTCCACTAGTGAGATTTTACTGGATCGTTGTTGTAGCCAAGAAGCTTGAAATATTCATCATAACTAACATAACAAGTTTTATTAACAAGAACAACAACAATAAACCCCAATATAATCTCACAAGTAGGGTCTGACGAGGGTAGTGAATATGTAGCCTTACTTCTTTGTGCAAGTAGAGATATTATTTTCGACTAGAAGCGGACCTATTAGATACAAAGAGGGGTCACCGACACTCATAAAGTTCGGCAAAAATTCTATGTATACATATATGTCTTTAGAAAATAGATATATATTAGTAGTGGACCCCCTATATACAAAACACATTTTGGTTGAATACAAAAGTGTATTCCGACCTTCAAATCCTGGGTCCGTCTCTATTTCCGATAGATCCTTGACTCAAAACAAGCATGCAAAATCATAACAGTATAACGAAGAAATATAGTAGTGTAAAAAGTCAGGTAAACAGTAATAACAACAAACTAGCAAAATATAATAAAATCTAAAACACAAGCAACATCACATAAATAACAAGTCTTATTGAGTTTAATTAGTGTAAGATTTAGTACCATGATTATTGATGTTGTTATCGATCATGTCTAGTCCATTATTTGTGTTCAATTCGTTGAGAAGAGATGAGGTGGGGCCAACTTGGTTGATTTCAGAATAACAACAAGAATCAGAATCATCATCTCTACTTGGAATCTTTTCTTTGACTTCCACTTCATCGTCAGAATGAATAGATTCCGAATCCACTGAGCTATAAATAGACTCTTCTTCAGTAATACTACCAGTTTCCTCTGTTTCTTTCTCAAAATCAGGAAATTGATCATTTTCTTGAGCTCCACGAATTATGTCTGCTACAAAATTATTTTCCTCCACTGACTGATGAGCATTATTATGGTAATACTCATTTTCTTCCTCTATTTCTTCATCATCAGAAAATTCAGCAAATTCATATCCATCTTGATTCCTACAAACAAAAAAACGCAATTTTTTTAGCCAGAATGTAAACCAAAATTCTTTCCGCGCCGTGGAATCAACCACTGATGTTTGCATCAGGGTAAACTATCTTTTCCGGATCCTATGTAAACACATGATGCTTTGTGTACCGAACTGTCTTTTTATCCCGTAAACTAAGAATTAAAACATTAGGAGAAAAGGAAAAATGAGAAATACCTCCAGAAAAATGGATTTTCGCCAAGGAAATAGAAGAATTTAGTAAGTAAAATGGAAGTGAAGTAGGAGAAGAGTAAGAAAAGAAGAAAAGAGCTAGAGAAATTGTAGAACAAACTAGCAATTGTTTCTTCTGAACATTGCATTTTTTTTCTTCTATATGGTTGAAGATACAAAGGTTTTTGAGTCTCTGGATTTTGCACAAAGCAGAGCAAAGTAGCACTAAAATAAAGGTGTAAACTTTAATTGCTTTAAAATTCTTTGTTTGTCAAGCTGGTCTATTGCTTTTCCATATAGACTTTACTTAAATATCCTTATGCTTAAGACTCAGGTTTTTTTTTTATCAAATACGCGTAATTAACTTTATTTAGGTGATAGTATTATGTACACCACTTTATCAAATATTGCATACAACATTTTTTCCCACCAAAATATAAAAGAAAAGTAACTTATCATCACAATTTTCCAATTTTTTGATCTGATACCAAACCAAGTGGTTATGCTACCGGTGGCAATTTGAGTCCAAATTCATTTAACTTGCTCAATGCGCCCAAGGTTGGGCCGGTCAGTTACCTTTTTATTTATTGAACTCACTTCATCTGGACCTAGTTCATGTTAGCCCATCTAAAGTTAGACTTATTTTTAGCCCAAATTGATTCATGTGTGATTTTTCTAGAATATCCTTAAAACAATTCTTTTTTGATTGCTATGTTACATATGACTATAACAAAAAAAATAATAATCTTATTTGATAATTGAACAATTCATAAGAAAACAACACACATTAATTAAAGCTTGATCAAAGTTGGACGAGTTAGATTATGACCCAAATTTTAGCCCATCTTGACCCATTTTATCTTAGCCCAATAAGTCACTTTTGACGGGTCGTTTACCCGCNCCCCCCAAGCTAGGTTATGTCCTATTTCTTTGAATTTAACTTATTTATACTAGGCATTGTAATGAATTTTTACAATATTCATGAAAAATTATATATTATTGCAAGTTGTTCTGTCTTATTTTTTAGGTAATTAGCTCCACATATTATGAACAAAACAATTTTATATGATATCCTGTATCACATTTTTCTTTTAGTAGCATACCTTATTAGAAAGCATACCTTATAAGATGAATCTATAATTTATTTATTTAGTTTTTTCTTTTGAAAAACCAAGAGAAGAAAAGCTATTAAGATTCTGTAAATTGGATGATGGAGAATTAGATAGGCGACGTCTTGACTAGCTTCCAAGAAAATCTTTAAGGTAGGCAGCCTTGCATGAAATAATTTCTTTTTCGCATATAAAGAACTACACGAGGCTTGTTTTTTGGCTCATATTTAATTGTTAAAGTAGAAATTGACAGATGAAAAGACTAGCAATGAGCCATCCCTATAAAATAAAACACAATAAAAACAAAAATAAAAAAGAAGAGACCAGACCAAGCCACACGCATCTAAAAGACCATCTGACTTGCTCTTTACAAAAGAAATGTTAGAATACTTGTCTTCTGGCAGAGTAAAAAAAATACTAAACACTTTAAAACTTGAAAATAAAAATAAAAATTATGGATTCTAATTATGGAAATGTTAGAATAATTGGCTGTTGGCAGAAGAAAAAAAAAATGCTAAACACTTAAAAACTTGAAAATAAAAATAAAAATTATGGATTCTAATTATGATTAGGTAGGTACTTGTTTGTGTTATGACCGAAAAAATCAGGTGTAATGAGGAAGCTAGTAAAGCAATACTTGAATGACGATAAATCAGATGACAAAAGAAAAATCTACCAAAAGAGACACAAACATTTAACGTGGTTCTGTCAATTGGCCTACGTTCACGGTGGAGATGAGCAATCCACTATATAAAATAGAGTACAAAATATCGAGAGAACAACCTCACGAATAGGCAAACACAAGTGACACACTAACACTACCTGTCTTGAACCTCGCTCTGATACCACTTGTTAGGACCGAAAAAATCAGGTTTCATGCGGAAGCTAGCAAAACAAACCTTGAACGACGATACATCAAATAACAAAAAAGAAATATAACAAAAGAGACACAAACATTTAACGTTGTTCAGTCAATTGACTTACGTCCACAATGGAGATGAGCAATCCACTATATAAAATAGAGTACAAAATATCGAGAGAACAACTTCACGAAGAGGCAAACACAAGTGCCGCACTAACACTACCTGTCTTGAACCTCGCTCTAATACCACTTGTTAGGACCGAAAAAATCAGGTTTCATGCGGAAGCTAGCAAAGCAAACCTTGAACGACAATACATCAGATAACAAAAGAGAAATATACCAAAAGTGACACAAACATTTAACGTGGTTCAGTCAATTGACCTACCTCCACGATGGAGATGAGCAATCCACTATATAAAATAGAGTACAAAATATCGAGAGAACAACCTCATGAATAGGCAAACACAAGTGACACACTTGTCACACCTCCTTTTTCCGCCCCGCGAGGGGCGTAGGAAGTTTTTCCAATTAAAGGACAATCGAAACGGGATTGGTTTGTTTATTTCAGAGTCGCCACTTGGGAGATTTAGGGTGTCCCAAGTCACCAATTTTAATCCCGAATCGAGGAAAAGAATGACTCCATATTACAGTCTACGTACCAGAAATCCGGATAAGGAATTATGTTAACTCGGGAGAAGGTGTTAGGCATTCCCGAGTTCCGTGGTTCTAGCACGGTCGCTCAACTGTCATATTCGGCTT